GCCCTCCCCCCTGTTCGCTGCCCCCCCACACTCACTTTCACCAGATTGGGGCGGGGTTGGGGAGGGGGTGTGGGTTCTGGGCTGGGGCCGAAGGTTTTGGAGTGTGGAATGGAGCTCTGGGCTGAGCCTGGGGCAGGGGTTGGGGTGCAGGAGGGGGTGCAGGGTGCAGGCTCCGGGAGGGAGTTTGGGTGAGGGAGAGGGCTCCAGGCTGGGGCAGTGTGTTGGGGTGCAGGAGGGGGTTTGGGGTGCTGGCTCCAGAAAGGGGGGCAGGGCTGGGGCAGGGAGTATGGGATGCTGGCTCCAGCAGGGGGCTCAGAGCTAGGGGTTGGGGTGCGGTGCCAAGTGATCCAAATCCCTCTGTATCAGTGACCTGCTCTCTTCATTATTTACCACTCCCTCAATCTTTATTTCATCTGTAAAATTTATCAGTTGTGATTTTTTTTTTCTTCTAGGTCATTGATAAAAATGTTAAATAGAATACCAACAAAAACAGGTCCCCTTTGGACCACACTAAAAACACAGCTGCTCAATGATGATGCCTTGTTTGGTTACATTTGGAGATCCAGCCATTTAATGTGTGCCATAAGTTGATTTTGTATCATTCTAGTTTCTTAATCAAAATGTCATGAGTTACCAAGTCAAATACCTTACAGAACTGTAAGTATATCACATTAACACTGTTACCTTTGTCAACCAAATATGTAATCTCATAAAAAAATCAAGTTAGTTTGACAGGGTTTATTTTCCATAAACCCACGTTGATTGGCTTTAATTTTATTACCTTCCTTTTTCTTTGTCAATAGAGTCCCGAATCAGCCACTCTATTATCTTTCCTGGGATCAAAGGCAGACTGAAAGGCTGGTCGTCCTGCTTACCCTTGGCACATTAGCCTTTTTCCAGTCCTCTGGAACTTTTCCAGTGTTCCAAGACTTACTGAAAATCAACATTAATAGTCCACAGAACTCTTGATCAGCCTTAGGTCACTCAAGTTGAACTCACCTTTTGCGTGTGAGCGTGTGAGAGAGAGATTTGGTGGTCTGTAGAAGACACCAACTACTTCCCCATCTTGTGCTTTATCTATTAGAACATTTATCTATCCACATTCAAGAACATTTGCTTCTAAGTTGTCGGTGATAAGTAGTAATTTTTTTCACATAGTGTGCCATTCCCCTCTCTCCTTTTCTGCACTCCATCCTTCCAAAATAGATTTAACCCATTGATTTTTAACATTCTAGTCATGCCAATCATCCCATCCGGTTCCAGTAATACCAGCTAGATAAAATTTATGCTCACAACTGAGCAACTCCAGTTCCTCTTGTTTATTATCCAGGCTACTAACATTGGTGAATAAGCAATAAAAGAATTTCTTTTCTTCATGCCCTTTGGTGTCACAGCTAATGTAGTACTAACTTTAGATATACTGCCATGGAAGACAGGATAGGGTGTACTGCAGCACTCTAGGTACCAGGCATAGGGTCTACTCCCATTGACATAAATGGTAAAATTCACTTTGGGGCAGATCCTCAACAACAGTCAAAGAATGCTCAGCATAACTGATGGGGTAGAACAAACATGGATTTAAGACAACTTTTTACTCCTCCAATCTTGGGGCTGGTGTGGGCTGGACCAGCCTTGGACATAAATTAAAGCAGCCTTTTTATGGCGGCTGTCAGGTGGACTGCCGAGGAACTGGGTAGGTGAACGAGCTTGCAGAAAATCAAGCAGACTTCCATCAGAGTTGATGGACATTTCAATTTCCACAAATCAGCAAATTCTGATAAAAAACATTTTGTAAAATTTTTTCCAACGGACTCTGTTATCTAACCCAATTTGTGAACTACTGCATCTTCTAATGCATTGGTTTTCAACCTGTACTCTGTGGTTCTCTGGGGGTCCGCAGACTGTGTCTATAATTTCCAATGGAGTCTGCACCTCCATTCAAAAATGTTTAGGGGTCTGCAAATGAAAAAAGGTTAAGAACCACTGTTCTAATGGGATGAACCTAGGTGTTGCTTGTAAGTATTTAAAAGTAAAAATGATTGATTTATTTTTAGAGCAGTTAAGGAATTAAAAAAATTAATCATGATTAATCATGCGATTAATCACATTCTTAAACAATAACTTAACTTAAATAACATTTATTTAAATATTTTTGGGTGTTTTCTACATTTTCAAATATATTGATTTCAACTACAACACAGAATACAAAGTGTACAGTGCTCGCTTTATATTTATTTTTATTACAAATATTTTCGCAGTAAAAACCAAAAGAAATATATTCATCTAATACAAGTACTGTAGTGCAATCTCTTTATCATGAAAGTTGAAGTTACAAATGTAGAATTATGTACAAAAAGAACTGTATTCAAAAAATAAAACAATGTAAAACTTTAGAGTCTACAAGTCCATGCAGTCCTACTTCAGCCAATCGCTCAGATAAAAAAGTTTGGTTACAATTTGCAGGAGATAATGTTGCTCGCTTCTTGTTTACAATGTCACCTGAAAGTGAGAACAGGAGTTTGCTTGGCACTGTTGTAGCCAGTGTCACAAAATATTTATGTGCCAGATGCACTAAAGATTCATATGTCCCTTCATGCCTCAATCACCATTCCAGAGGACATGCATCCATGCTGATGACGTGTTTTACTCTATAACAATCTAAAGCACAGCAGACCGACGTATGTTCATTTTCATCATCTGAGTCAGATGCCACCAGCAGCTTGATTTTCATATTTTTGGTGGTTTGGGTTTTGTAGTTTCCTCATTGGAGTGTTTCTCTTTTAAGACTTCCAAAAGCATGCTCCACACCCATCCCGATCAGATTTTGGACGGCACTTCAGGTTCTTAAACCTTGGGTTGAGTGCTGTAGCTATTTTTAGAAATCTCACATTGGTACCTTCTTTGTGTTTTGTCAGTTCTGCTGTGAAAGTGTTCTTAAAATGAACAACATGCACTGGGTCATCATCCAAGACTGCTATAACATGAAATATATGATAGAATATGAGTAAAACAGAACAGGAGCTATACAATTCTCCCCCAAAGAGTTCAGTCACAAATTTAACTAACACGCTATTTTTTTAACGAGCATCATCAGCATGGAAGCATGTCCTCTGGAATGGTGGCCGAAGCATGAAGGGGCATACAAATGTTTAGCATATCTGGCACATAAATATCTTGCAACACCGGCTACAAAAGTGCAATGCGAACTCCTGTTCTCACTTTCAGGTGACGTAAATAAGAAGCAGGCAGCATTATTTCCCTTAAAAGTAAACAAACTTGTCTGTCTTAGCGATTGGCTGAACAAGAAGTAGGACTGAGTGGACTTGTAGGCTCTAAAGTTTTACCTTGTTTTGTTTTTGAGTGCAGTTATGTAACAAAAAAATCTACATTTGTAAGTTAGACTTTCACAATAAAGAGACTGCACTACAGTACTTGTACAAGGTGAATTGAAAAATACTATTTCTTTTGTTTATCATTTTACAGTGGAAATATTTGTAATAAAAATAATAATATAAAGTGAGCACTGTACATTTTGTATTTTGTGTTGTAATAGAAATCAATATATTTAAAAATGTAGAAAAATATCCAAAAATATTTAATAAATTTCAATTGGTATTCTATTGTTTAACAGTGCGATTAATCACAATTAATTTTTTGAGATAATCGCATGAGTTAACTGCAACTGATCGACAGCCCTATTTATTTTAAATTGTTTTAACTCCCCTAGTTCTTCCAGACATACTGAAATAGCCCAGTTTTCTGACAGCATTCCACTGCCTGAGACATGGCCTCTTACATTACAAAGTTTGGTGTGAATAGCCAACCAAGCACTCCCTTTGGCTCACCTCTACTTCGTGCTGTAGAATATAAAGGGTATACATAACTCACACTATTTAATGTACACATAGCTAAATAAAAGGATAGCATATTTTAAAATTTCTTATGTCAAATGTGTTTTTCCATGCAACAGTTGCAGTGGAAGTAAGACAGTTTTGTTTTCGCATTGTATTACTCTAAACCAGTGATCACCAACCGCTTGATCATGATCGACTGGTTGATCCTAGAGGATCTCCCCGTCGATCGCAATATCCGGTGGTGCAGCATGACTGCCTCTAAAGCAGACTCCCTGCTTACCCCAGCCCCACACTGCTCCCAGAAGTGGCCAGCCCAGCCCCATGGCCCTGAGGGAGGGGGAGCTGGGATCTCCCTCTGCGCGCTGCTCCTGCCTGCAAGCACCACCCCCACAGCTCCCATTGGCCAAGAGAGCTGTGGGGGCAGTGCTTGCAGAGAGGGGCAGCGCACGGAACCACATGCCTCCTGCGCCCCCTCCCAACCAGGGGCCGCAGGGGCACATTGGTCTCTTCCGGGAGCAGTGTGGGGCTGGGATAGGCAGGGAGTCTGCCTTAGCCTCACTGCACCTGCTGCTGACTGGGAGCTGCCAGAGGTAAGTGCTGCCCAGCACGAGGCTGCACCCCAACCCCCATCCCTGAGCCACCTCCAAGAGCCAACACCCCATAGTTCCTCCTGCATCCCAACAATCTTCCCCAGCCCTGACCCCCCTCCCAGAGCCAGCACCATGTATCCCCTCCTGTACCCCAACACACTGCCCCAGCCCAGAGCCCCCTCCTGCATCCAAACTCCCTGCCCCAGGCTCAGCCCAGAGCCCCCTCCTACACTGCAAACCCCTCGGCCCCAACCCAGAGCTGACACCCCCTCCCGAATACCAACCCCTTACCCCAGCTCAGTGAAAGTGAGTGAGGGTGGGGGAAGAGCAAGCACGGGGGGGGGGGGAGATGGAGTGAATAGGGCAGTGCCTTGAGGAAGGGGCAGGGTAGATCCTGGGTTGCCCTTAGATTCAAAAAGTGATCTTGGTTGGAGGTTGGAGACTACTGCTCTAAACCATTTTCTCTGTTGCAAAGCCATTTTGCAAGTACAGATTTAAGCAGATAAAGGTGAGATGATATTGACACCTAACTATGACATTGCATCTTATTAAACAGGTAATTCTCTAATGGATCAATGAAAACAAAACGATGACAAGTTGTGGTCAACAGTCCTTGAATGTGCTGATGGTTGTGTTCTTATTGCTCTTGTCAGCAGGTAATGTTTCTTCCAGAAATTTATTTTTATGTCAGCTGGGCGAGGGGATAAATGGGTTAAAACTTCATCAAACCCAAGTGCCTACAAAACTAATGGTACCATAGGTAATGCTATGAGTTGAAAAAAAAGCACTGTGCAACTTAAACTTAGCTGTGCATTTGGTGACTGGAAGCTAAAACAAGAATACTAAAATAGCAATACTATTTCATTTAGGAAAGGAACACTAATAGGACACAGACAAGATAAGCAGACTCAACATTTGACATTCAACTTGAATAATCATTTTCTTTACTATTTTAATTCTGAATAGGCTATCAGCTCCTTAAAATGAAGGATTCACACCATATAAATCAAACAATTCTGCCAAATGATCCACGTACGGCAGACCTAGGAAGCCAGGTTGTATCATGTGCATTTTCACATTGGACAAAAGAGGATGTGTGTTTATGTGTACGGCTCATGTTATCTTCACGCTATGCCTGTTCATAGTCTTCTGCTGCTATAGTTAAGTTTACAAAAGAGTTCCAATTAGAAGTAGTACTTTTCACAGGCTCATAACTTTCAGAAGCTCACCAGTTTTCTGAAATTTTCCATGTTTGTAATTCTGTCTGAAGGTGATTTATTCTCAGGAAGTTTAAGCAGAATCCCATCCCAGAATTTTTTTCCTAGTTCCATGAGGGAGTAAAATGACATCCATCCCATTTTAAAATACTCTAATTGCACTTTTGTCATGAGGAATACAGCAGATACATTTGAAACTTGGAATGGATTAATTGAGGATGAATAATAACAACTAGCTCTTTTTATATAATGATTTTCATTCATATTTCTTAATGTGCTTGATGAAGTTAGAGGAGCATTAGTATCCCTATTTTAGAGGTGGAGAAACTGAAGCACAAAGTTGAATGACTTACTCACGTTTACACAGATAGCGGCAGAGTCAAATAATCTAAAGGCAGGAAATGTGGGAAAATCGGGTTGAATTTATTGTTCAGGCAGGCTGATAACCTTTAATTACATGATCATAACTTATCCCAACTACATGTGCCCAGCTATATTGTAGGAAAAAAATATATCATCATCTATCTCAGAAACAGCATGTCATCGTAGTAATAAATACTATTTCATATGCATATGCACAGGGGATAGAGTTAAGTTTGCACCATCAGCCATAATGTTCATATTTACTGGCTTTTGAGAATTTTACTTTTCTCGAACCAAAACAAAGGAATTTTACTTCCTTGAACCAAAACAAAGCTGTTAGGTCTGAATTTAATATGTTTAGGCTTTTCAGCCCTGACACTGTCTCTTTGGGGAGAGGTGAAATGCTGTCTGTAAAGAAAAATGTCTTTGCTTTGATCCTGTTTACATAGGACTTCTGCATATTATATAAATCATTGATAAATACCAGGCACTATTCTAGCATTTTATTTTATTTGTTTATGCATGTATACCTTATCCTGTAATAGATCCTTTATTATTTTTTTGACATTTCTTATTAGCACATAGGGTGCATGACGCTATGCTGCAGGATAGGTGTTTACAATGATAATGGCAGCTTTAATTTATGTACCCCAGGTAGGATTGTCAAAAGCTTTCGGTGCTGGCCTAACTCTATGCCTGCTGAAGTCAGTGAGAGTTTTACGTTGGGAATGATGTTAACCAGTGTTAAGTACCTTTGAAAATTCTATCCCCAGCCTTTATAAAGCATTAACACAATTGAGAGTGTTTTCTTGGCCTCCTTTCACATAAACAGCAAGTTTCCTAAAACAATGGAGGCATGTTAATTTTGTAGCAGCATCACAGTAACAAAGGTCCATAGTAACTTTGCTGATAACCATAGTAATTACACGGTAACTTGTGTTTATCTATGTAATCAACTCAGATATATGTACAATGTATGTCCCGTATGCCCCAGATTCTGTAAAGGGAGACGACTGGCTTTACATAATTTGAATGAAAGAACTACAGGATGCTGCTTTTTATTGCAATTATACTAATTTCATACTTGAAAAAAGTAGAATTGGAAAGTATAAAAACAAGGATATTTGAAGATCATATCTAATAATCATTAAGAGCATAGTGTCTGATCACAACCACAAGGCACAGATTACAAAGGCTGGGATGACAATGAGCTGATAAGTCCCAGATGTACAGTGCAGCACTTTTGGGGACATTGTTTTGGAGAGCCAGGCAGGCAGGGAAGCAGCAACAGTGGGGTAGAGGAACAGCTGGATAGCTCAAATAAGATGATGGGGTTGGTAGAAGAACCAGAATAGTAGAGACCTGCATTGAGCAGCTTCAGCTGTGTTGGCTGGCCTCAAAAAGGAGATGCAGCTCCCTGCCTGCAGTCAGAAAGGTGTCTGAGTGGGTGGAAATAAGAATGAAAAGGAGTGCCTACGGTGAGGACAGGCAGGCTAGAGCTCTGTTAGAAAAGGCAGTAGCAGAATAGGAACGTTGCAACTAGGGCAGGTCAGGAATTTTTTAACAAACATTTTTTTGTCAGAAAATGCCAGTTTGTCAAAATTGAAACTTTTGGATGAAACATAATGGTTTTGATGAAACAAAAGGTTTCTCAGCTCCAGGACAGAAGAGAATGACCCACCCCAGAATAGCCAATTGCCCACTGCTTAGAGCACTCTCCTAGGACCCAGGTTGTAGGCTTTGCTCTGCCTGATTTGGCCTAGTGGTTGGCCCAGTGGTCAGGCAGAGCAGGCCCTTGAACCTGGCTTTTCCGTATCCCAGGTGAGTGCCCTAATGGGAGGTGTTGGGTCATCCCTGAACTAGAGACTGATTAAGCCACACATTATTGATGAATTATTCCTGTGCTAGGCTCCAGCCAATCCACAAGGCCAAAGCCACTCCGGTGACTCTCAGGGCAGGTATATAAGTCTCAAAGGAGAAACAGCAGATCAGTTTGCTCAGCGTCACTTCATGGCTTGGGACTCATCCCTGCCTGATAGTGCTAACAGACTCCATAAGCCTTAGCCTGCTCCAGCCTAGCTCTTGCTCCAACCCTGCTCTGATTCTTGATTCCAGCTCTGACCCCCCTGGCTTCGACCACTGGCCCAAATGCCACAGCTCTGACCACTAAGCCTGACCATCCCCAACATGGTTTCTGATACTCAAGCACTGGGCTAGTGGCTCTTTGGAGGGGGGACAGGGACTTTGTTATTTTTATGAAAATTTTGAAAGGTCTTGGTTTCATTCTAATGTGGAATGAAAACAAATTTAGAAACCTTGACATTTTCCACAAAAATGGAATTTGTGTAGGCCAGCTCTAATGGCAACCCTCTGACCAATATGATTGAACTGGGACGATTAAGACTGTGATGGAGAGCAAGAAGAGACAAAATGGTAGGACTTTTTGGTACTCATTAGTTCGATGTGGCTGTACCAATAACTCACAATAAAGAGAGCCATGCATGCATGCTACAAAGAATATCTGCCCTGTCTGCTTTAACTCCTAAGCATATAGTTTGATTTAATTCAACTGAATGATGCTTTTGTTACAAAATAATGGGTTGAAACTCATTGATGAAGTTATGGATGGTAGTGAATTTCATATTAACATACAAAACTTGGCAATTTTTTTGCACTTCACAATCATTTTCTTTTATACTTGAAAGGGGTCATGTCTATGTTTAAACAATCACAGGATATCAAGTGAATGGTATATATTTTGTTACAATGAGCACCTGCCTCTGATTGAAAGCATCAGTATTCAAAACAAATAAAATAAAAGACTTCTACGCTAACTTGGTACTAAACTCATAGCAATACTCTCCAGAGCTAGCTAACAAAATCTATGAAAGCAGCATTACATTGGACTGCGTATTCAGACATTTTAGTTACATTGGCTGCTTATTTTTCTGAACATATTGCAAGTAAACCCTGAAAGACCAGCATAAATCAATCATTCAAAGCCTGATAGTCTATTCTGCCCTAGAAATGTGCATGCACAGAGATAGGAGGATATAGCCTCCTCACATTATTGGTAGTAAATTTCAAATGTGGGGTAGAGTTTTACATATGCTACTTCACTTCAGAAAAAGTATGTTATACCTTTCATCTCTGCAAGAGGTAACTTAAACATTTCAATAAAACCACTGGGGTAGGTAGGTGGAAATAAGGTAAGAGAAGGTAAACTGGGTCCTCCTATGGGACAAGGAGAACAATAAAACTGAAAAGCGATAAATGTAAAATTGATGAGATTTTTTTTTTTACACATACACAATTACATATAAATTGTGGAACTCATTGTCATAAGATATTATTCAGGGTAAGAGCTCAGTAGGTTTGAAAGAAAAAAGATCAGACATATGTATATGGATAGTGATAACATTCAGAGTTACATATTAGATAGGACAAAATATATATATTAAAAATTTCTGCTTTAAGCACATAAGCCAAACAGTAACTGATGGGAGCTAGGAAGTAACTTCACTTTTCTGGAGGTTATGCCATTATTTTCCATGATGGCATTTCTTGCATCTTCATTTGTGGAGCATTTGAAACTAGACACTGCCAAAGAAAGGATATAGGATTAGATAGATCACAGAGCTGATTAAGTTCAGCACTTCTTGGGTTCCTAAATGTTAAAAACAGTTGAATAAATGTTAAATTTGTTAGTATGTATCTCTGCATTTTTGAGGGATGGGTGTCTGCAGGAGCAGCCCCACAAATCAGGTACTTACTGAAGTGCCTAGGTATGGATTTAGAAGCCCAACTTTAGGGACAGATGTTGGAAACTGTAGCCCATGGTCACAAAGGAAGTCAATGGCAGATCTGGGTACAGAACTCAGAACTAAAGTTGTTCAGAAATTTTCCATCAATGTTTTCTTGACAGAAGATGCAGTTTCTGCCAAATTGAAATTTTCTGTGGGAAACATTTTTCAATTTTCTGTCAGGAAGGTTTAAGTGGAATATTTCATCTCAAGTCAACCCAAATCAAAACATTTCAGTTAGTCATTAATCTATGTCTGCTTGAGCTGCTGTAATGGGAGTTGTAGTTTGGGTGCCTTGTGCCCCCAATCTTCTCGTGAGCCAGGTTCCCTGGCTGGACTAAGTTTCCCCATGATGCACTGTAAACTTCTCTCTGGTTGAATCAATGTGGTGCATCACAGGACATATAGTCCAGCTGGGGAGTCCATCCCATATAGAATGGGAGCATGAGACACTCAAACTACAGTTCCTATGAAGCACCATGGCTGCTCAGTCGGACACAGATTAATGTTGAAGTAAACTGAAATTAAATGTTTCAATTCAGTTCACCAAACCAAAATGAAACATTTTGGTTAGCTAATATCAAAACATTTCACTTAGATTAGAAATGTCTAAATTACATTTTTCTAACTGAAATTTTCCTGAACTTTCAATTCCATGAAAAGTTTTGATATTTCAGATATTCACCCTGATTCAGGATGAAAATAGATGTCAAAATATTTGCATTTTCCACAGGATGGAAATTTTGGTTTTCGATCAGCTCTCCTCAAAACCTCTGAGTTCAATGGCTGTGGCCTTAATCAAAAGATGGCATAGTCTTCCTCTCAGTAGATGATAGCAAAGGAAGTCATGCCAGGATTGAAATGCACTCATTTCTCTGTAATTTCCACTGGCACCTAGTTCACTCAGGCATTGTCTACAGCCAAATATATACCAGTTTGGTTAAACTGGTGCAAACCTTTGTGTGTACACTCTATATTGGTAAGCTGATACAATAATAATAAGTAATAATGAGACCACCACCTACCTCTTATATAGAGCTTTTCAACAGAAGATCTCAAAGCAATTTAACAAAAAAGGTCAGAATCATTATCCCAATTTTCAAACAATTATAAAAATATGAGTGTACATGCTCAAAGTTGCACCAGTTAACTAAATCAGTTTAAAATAACACCTTAATTTATTGGTGCAACTTTGGGTGTACAGCAGTCCATAGTGTGTCTGTCTCAGTTCTGTAAAATCAGAGTAAAAATACATCATTTCTCCCACGTTTTGTCTGTTGGCTATATTTAGACTGTAAGGTCTTCAAGGGCAGAGACTGTGTGTGTAATCTGAGATGTGGCTTCAAGGCACTACCATAATATAACCCCTAAATAAATTAAAGTAGTGCCACAGTGTGAGAGCTGGGGTTAGCAACAGACCTCAAACTCCTACAAGGCATACTAACCACCACACAACAATTAGCCTAGAGCCCAAATTCTGGGGAAATATACAGAGATGATTTATTTCTTTCGAGAGAATTGACCAGCAAAACCAGCGTAACAAAAAACCTGCAAAATGATTTAAAAGACATAATACCTGCCATACATGAGGATTTAATTTTAAAAAAATTAAGATCTGAACTGTAATTGTGTTTCCATTAACAGCCGTGTTAGTCTGTATTCGCAAAAAGAAAAGGAGTACTTGTGGCACCTTAGAGACTAACCAATTTATTTGAGCATAAGCTTTCGTGAGCTACAGCTCACTTCATCGGATGCATACTGTGGAAACTGCAGAAGACATTATATACACAGAGACCATGAAACAATACCTCCTCCCATCCCACTCTCCTGCTGGTAATAGCTTATCTAAAGTGATCACTCTGGATTTGTGCTGGAAATGGCCCACCTTGATTTTCATACACATTGTAAGGAGGGTGGTCACTTTGGATAAGCTATTACCAGCAGGAGAGTGAGTTTGTGTGTGTGGTTTTTGGAGGGGGAGGTGGGGGGTGAGAAAACCTGGATTTGTGCTGGAAATGGCCCACCTTGATTATCATACACATTGTAAAGAGAGTGGTCACTTTGGATGGGCTATTACCAGCAGGAGAGTGAGTTTGTGTGGAGGGGGGAGAGGCAGAGGGTGAGAAAACCTGGATTTGTGCTGGAAATGGCCCAACTTGATTATCATACACATTGTAAGGAGAGTGATCACTTTAGATAAGTTATTACCAGCAGGAGAGTGGGATGGGAGGAGGTATTGTTTCATGGTCTCTGTGTATATAATGTCTTCTGCAGTTTCCACAGTATGCATCCGATGAAGTGAGCTGTAGCTCACGAAAGCTTACGCTCAAATAAATTGGTTAGTCTCTAAGGTGCCACAAGTACTCCTTTTCTTTTTGTGTTTCCATTGTTATTGTTCTAGATATTGTATACTCACAGTTGTTCAGGCCTGTTAGCATGGTCATATCTTTTAATTATTATTTTTGGAAGATCAATGCCTATCAAAATAATGACCTTTACAGTAGAGCAGATGTTTCTGACACATTAATAACAGCCACCTTAAATCATGTGCCTTTGGACTCTTATTTCAGTTTGCATGTATGTTTTTTCTTTACTGATAGTAAAATCATCCCAGAAAAATCTTAAACTTTTCTAGATCTTTGCTGATATCCCATAGTTTTAAAACTGCATAGTTGAAGATATGTATTTAAATATTTTAGTGTTCCTTGCCGTTCAAAATTGTGATAGTTATGGACAACACTTCGTCTCTTCTGTTTAAAAAATAAATGAATTAAAATTTAAAAAAAGTCAGAAACATAGTAACTCAAAATCGAAAATATCACAAAAATGCTTTTCTTGCTTTCAATAGTCGTATCAAATATTATGAGGTTGAAGCTCCTAAAATACATGATTACTGTTTCTCAGAAGCCAGGGGAAAAATTATTTAAGATAATTGAAAAATGAGAATGGATGTGACATGCAACTAGCACATATGACTCACAAAGACAATATCAATCTTTGTTTTACAGCATTGTCTGCACATTTTCGTGTCTGTGAGCCATATACAGACTACAAAGGCCGCTACCACTTTGGTTTTCACTGTCCACGTCTTTCTGACAATAAATCTTACATCTTCTGCTGTCACCATAACAACACGGTATTTAAATACTGCTGCAATGAGACAGAATTTCAGACTGTTATGCAGATGAACCTAACGGGGAATGCAGATGGATATATGCATAAGTAAGTAAATGAGTTATAAAGTACTCTTTACCAAATTATTCCTAGTCTAATCACATAATGTAAGATATATTTAATGATGGAAGCAATTAGAATAATTGTACATACACAGAAACGTTTCTAGAAGCTCTTCTGTACAAGTCTACTTCTCATGAAGGGGATGTTTACCTTTGCTTCTATTGCTTCAGTGCCCATTATATAAATTCCTAAGAGCATGTATGTAAATTTTATAAGCAAATAGGCTGTTTCTCCCCCCAAAATTGGACAAAACCGTGTTTAAATGTGTATCTGAAAACCCCAACAAGTGATGGCAAGAGAAAGGTAAGTTGACATTTTTCAGACCATCCCAAATGTTTTACATGGATAATTGCTATTTTGAATTTGTGCATGTTTTGCATATTAATGACTTGCAATCACGGAGCTTGATCAGCAAAATGCACTTGGTTGTTTAATCACCTTGTCTGCTGCTTGAGATCTCTTTTCACATTCTCTTTTTAAAAGCAGCTCTGTGGCCTGTTGTTAAAGATAGAAAATAAGAACTTTTGCAGAAAAACTGACAAGGTAGTAAGTAGATCCTGAATTATGGACTGCCCATGCTGTGGGGGCAAGATTTCCAGGTCCAGACTCGCTCCTTTGCACTACTCAAGAATTCTCACCGTGGCTGAATTCCCCTGATGGAGGATGGTGCTCTCAACTGAGAGCCAGCTCCTAAGACAACTGCCCCCCTCATCCTGGCTCAGGGGCAATGTCAGGGGAGGGAAGGTTTCAGCTTCAGAAGGAGTGGTAGGGAGCGCCATTGCACCAGTTTTCAGCTAGTGTATGATTCTTAGGTCTTGAAGTCAATGGGAGTTTTGCCATTGACTTCTATGGGAGCCGGGGCAGGGTTGTAGGTCTCTTTGAGATTATATTCTCCTGTCATAAATTAGGCTATTTTAACTCTCAGTGGTGCCAGGGCCAGAACAATCAGAGAGCTAGTTATGCCTCCTTAATAGCCCCCTCACACTACTGTACTGAGAGTGTCTTGGATTTTGTCTACACACAAAAGTTGTACCACTGACTATGCCAATCTAGCTAAAACAGTGCAATACCTCTAGTGTGGTCTCAGTTATATCAGTATGTAAGGTGCTTTATATCAGTATAGCTTATTCCCAAATGGGAAGAGGAATAAGCTATGCCAGTATAAGGCACCTTAATACTGGTATAAGAGCATCCACACTAGATGTCTCAGTTTAAAAAAAAAATCACCTCTCTAACCAAAACAGCTATACAAGTATAAAAACTGTCCATAGTTTGGGCCTTGGATGCATGACAGAATCTAGCCTTATATTTTTACAAAAGTGATACACCAAAAACTGTTCACTACCACCAAGTTTGTTACACCTTTAGAGATAAACTTGCAAAGCATTTTCTGGGGTTCATTCATGAGTTGTTTATTCATGTCGCCAACTTCAAATTTGTTTAATCTATTTTGGATTACTTAGACAATTTATTTATGAACAGTACTCTAAAAAGAGAAATGGATAGCATATGGGAGAGAGGATAATTTGGGGTCCCCGTTGGCAATCTAATTTTGTTTTCATACCTTATAGGAGTGGTGGCTAGAGCCTTTGATAAGCACCACTATTTATATATCTAACAATAATAATTAACAAATCATTCAGCTTTGCCACGGAACGTTTTACTTCCATATTCCTTATGGGTGAAATTCACCTTGTGCAAAGAACCAGCAAAAGGGCCATGTGCCACTGAAGTCCTATTTTCAGGTTTGGACTGGGATTCAGTGGTGCATGAGGTTTGTGCTGCACATCTGCACAGGGGTGAATTGTACCCTACGTGTGTAAAATCATGCACAGTAGAAGGAGAATTAAAAAATAGAAGTCCCAGGACCATGACTTTAGCATTGCTGCAGCTGAGCCAGTCTTCCCCTCTTTGCAACCTACTGGACTATCAGGACTGTGAAGGGATTGATCAGGGTCAGGAAAAGGAGTGGAAGCTAGAGATCTATGAGCAACTCTGGCCACAATCTTCAGACTTCGTGGTCAGGCACTCAGACGGGTTCTCCCAGGCAAAAATAACACAGCCAGTTCCCACCCAGGTGGTTTGATCATGGAGGGGTAGTTAAACTGCATTAATGAATCTCCTCCCACCCTACCCTACCCCACCCCACCCTACCCTTTCTTTTTGATGTGGTATTAATCCAAGTAGGAAAAAAAGGAAACATCTTGCTTTATAGCTGTAATTCTCCAGCTCTTCCTCCCAATCCCCACCACTTCTGCTTCAGCCATGTACATTTTTTGTGGAAAGAATAATGACAGCTGTGTAGAAAGGGAAGGAGAATCCTGAATCACTGCTTCCTCCATCCATGTGAAACTTCAGTACTTTTTAGTGCAGCTTTGCCCTCCAGTCTATATAGAGAGCCTGACCCAAAGCCCGCGAACTTGCTGAGGGTGCAATCCATTCCATCATCCAGCTCATTAATGAAGATGTTGAACAAAACCAGCCCCAGAACCAACCCTTGGGGCACACTCCTCTTGATTCCGGCCGCCAACTAGACATCGAGCCATTGATCACTATCCGTTTAGCCTGACGATCTAGCCAGCTTTCTATCCATCTTATAGTCCATTCATCCAATCCATACTCTTTAACTTGCTGGCAAGAATACTGTGGAAGACTGTATCAAAGCTTTGCTAAAGTCAAGGTATATCATGTCCAGTGCTTTTCCCATATCTACAAAGCCAGTTATCTCACCATAGAAAGCAATCAGGTTGGTCAGGCATGACTTGCCCTTGGTGAATCCATGTTAACCTTTCCTGATCACCTACCTCTCCTCCAAGTGCTTCAAAATGGATTTCTGAAGGACTTGCTCCATGATTTTTCGGGGACTGAGGTTAGGCTGACCGCTCTGTAGTTCCCCGGATTGTTCATCTTCCATTTTTTAAAGATGGGCACTATATTTGCTTTTTTCCAATTGTCCAGGACTCCCCGCCCACCCCAATCGCCATGAGTTTTCAAAGATAATGGCCAATGGCTCTGCAATCATATCAGCCAACTCCCTCAGCACCCTTGGATGCATTGCATCCAGTTCAATGGACTTGTGCATGTCCACCTTTTCTAAATAGTCCTTAGCCTGTTCTTTCACCACCAAGGGCTGCTCACCTCCTCCCCATGCTGTACTGCCCAGTGCAACAGCCTGGGAGCTGATCTTGTCTGTGAAGACCGAGGCAAAAAAAGCATTGAGTACTTCAATGCTAACATCAGTGGGGTTATATATGTGGTCAGATTTGGATTGATGTTACTGCAAATGGCCCCATGTAATTGTGAGTACAAGATACCAGAGAAAATGATACCTAAATATATTTTATTACTCTTATTCAGCTATATTGTATGCATATAAACCCTAATTATTGGTTTAAAACAGTGACAATGGTTCATTTACAATGATGCCAGAGGGCTATAGCTAAAAAGGAACATGCTTTAGTCCAAAGTTTTGGGACTCCACTTATTTAATGTACAGCAGGGGGGTGGTGTAGATGGTTAAGAGACTAGACTCAGACCCAGGAGAGTGGGTTTCAGTTCAGCAAACTTCCTTTGTGACTTCCTTGGACAAGTCATTTCTCTGTGCCCGTTTCTCCCTCTGGTTTCTCTGTGCCTCTGTTTCCCCACTTGTAATATGAGAATTATAGCACTTTGCTACTTCATATAGGATTTTCTGAGTATAAACAACATCAATGTATGTGATGTGCTCAGATACTACAGTGGCCATAAAAACACAGGGGAAGACGGATCTAATTCCTCCTCCCCACCCCACTGTGTTTTGCTTTCTTGCTTTTGCATACAGTACCTTGAGGACAATAAGAAAAATGCAGTAAAAGTACAAACAATGTAGGCTTTGTTGGGAAAGTAGGCCTAGGCTGTGGTTTTCAAAAGAGCCTAAGAGAATGAGGTCTGAATTTCATTGGGAGCTGGGCACCTTGTTCCCTTAGCCTTCGTATGCTACTATTTTAGAGCTTTGAGAGGGTTGGAACTTAATTTTGGTCTGAATCTAGTCCTTTTATCTCTCTATTATATTGGAATGAATGGGAAAACTAGAGTGAGAGTTCTGTAAAGCAGTGACCTCAAAACTTGCATCCAGTGCAGCATTCTGGGAGCTGATCTTGTCTGTGAAGACCGAGGGAAAAAAAGCATTGAGTACTTCAGCTTTTTCCACATCATCTGTCACTAGGTTGCCTCCCCCATTCAGTAAGGGTCCCACACTTTCCCTGACCTTCTTCTTGTTGCTAACATACCTGTAGAAACCTTTCTTGTTACCCTTCACATCCCTTGCTAGTTGCAACTCCATTTGTGCTTTGGCCTTCCTGATTACATCCCTGCATTGTTGAGCAATATTTTTATACTCCTCCCTAGTCACCAGTTAACGCTCTCCCCAATGCTGAGCAGAAAGTCACAAAGCGTTAATCATAGCTCAGTGAATAATGGATTTTTCACTTTAGGGGTGGAACAGAAAAAAAATCTAGTTTGACCAATGAAAACCAATGTTTTCAAACATTTTCATCAAATCAAAAGATCAAAAAAGAAACATTTCAGGTTGACTCAAAGGGAAATTTTTCGTTTTTTTGATGTGTTTGAAGCTGACCAAAATGCTTCAGTCAACTCTAAACAAATATTTTTTCAGTTTTTCATTTCAATTCAGCCATTTTCAGGTGTTTTCACTATTTTAAAAAAAGTTGGCCAAATTTGAATTTGAAACACTGTTTCAAAATGAAAAGTCAAAAGAAAATGTTTTGAAACAAAATTTTTTGACTTTGAAATTTTTTCCCCAACTGAAACTATTAGTTAATACATGAATAGTTTCGGAGTATCGGAAAATGCATTTTTGATGCAAAAAGAAATCTATTCACTGAAAAAATGTCACCCAGCTCTAATATTAAAACATTAAGGGCCAAATTCTGTGCTTGGTGTAAATTGGCACAGCTCCAGTGAAATCAGTGGCGCTGTGCCAGCTT